GAATTGCATAGCAACAGCCTAATAATCAGAATGAAAGTGAAAATCAAGACTCCATGCATACAGTGATCAACAGAGTAAAAAAAAAACATATAGCAACTATCCAGAAGACCCTAGCAACTGCATAGCAACATACTAACAACCAATCAGAACAAATGTGTAAATTAGGATTCTATGCATACAATGATCTGCTGAATAAGAAAGCTACCTAGCAACTGCATAGCAACATGCTAATATGGTAGTTGCTTACAATGATCAACAGAGTAAGACAACCACCTAGCAACCATCCAGAACACCTTAGCAACACTCTAGCATCCACCCAAACAGTCTAAACACAACTATCCAGATCGCCCTAGCAACTGCAGAGCAACATGCTAGAAACCAATTAAAACAAATGTGGAAATGAGGATTCTATGCATAAAATGAGCAACAGAGTAAGAAAACGATCTAGTAACCACCAGAACACCCTAGCAACTGCATAGCAACATGCTATCATCTAATTTAAACAAATACAGAAATGAGGATTCTATGCCTACAATGATCAGCGGAGTAAGACAACTACCTAGCAACCACCCAGAACACCTTAGCAACGCCCTAGCAACCAGCTTGAACACCCTAGCAACTGTATTTTCAAAAAATGTAAAAACCTAATTCCTTTATGCAAAACAAAACACTAGCGAAGTACACTAGATAATTTAGAGACGTCTGATACATGCTGAGAATACAATTCCAACACACACACAGATATAACTAAGAGTGCAGATTTAATCAGAAGGATCAGTATTCAGAAGCTGTAGCTTATCCAGTGCAGAGAACAACACTCACATCATATGGAAATAGTTCCTGTTTGAGAACATTATCAATCTACCGCTGCTCATCACAACAGTCCTGATCTGCTGGTTGACCTTCAACCCTTGACAAGGATAATGGCATGACTGGGGCTTGCTTAAGATCTATTTAACACCTAAATAGGCATTAAAGGTGAATTTGCATAAAACATTCTTGATGATATGCAGATACATGTTGTTTCAAACCGGCATGACTTTCTTTTTCTATGGGACACAAGAGGTAATTTTCTTCCATACACCGAAAGTCAATGAAGTGTAATAAATGTTTTGTATTGTATGGATAAAAACTTATTTTGTATCTTCTTTTGTACTATACAGTTCAAACGTTTGGGGTCAGTAAGATTATGTTTTGAAAGAAATTAATACTTGTGTTCAGCAAGGTTGCATTAAATTGATCAAAAGTGAAATTTATGTTACAAAAGATATAATATGAATAAATGCTGTACTTTTATTACACTGAACTTTCTATTCGTCAAAGAATCCTGAAAACGAAAAATGTATAATGTTTCCACAAAAAAAAATGTTTTCAACTTTGATAATAATCATAAATGTTTCTTGAGCAGCAAATCAGCATACTACAATGAATCACATGAATAAATTAAATCATAAACTATATTCAAATAGAAAAGGGTTATTTTAAACTGTAATAATATTTGACAAATTACTGTTTTCACTGAATTTGTAATCAAATAAATGCAACCTTTGTGAACATAAGAGACTTCTTTCAAAAACAACCCCAAACTTTTGAAAGGTAGTTTACATCACTAAATGCATCCTTTATAATGCACTAGCAATAAAAAGGTAACAAAAAGATATATGTGATAATACAGTATATTGGCTGATACTGGAAATTTAATTGTGCATGCTTATTTTCTCTATTTTTACATTTAGATTTCTTTGCCGTCAACTAACGCACACTTAAAATTAATCTTTAAAAACATGTATTTAGTCAAATGTGATTTATCATAATTACAAGTGATTTTTTTTAATACTGTAAATTTTAAATTTTCTGATTCTGATTCTTTTGTAGCATTTAAATAGATTTTTATAGATCTTAATTTACTTAGACAAAATAGCATAGAATCAGACATTTATTGTTTATTGGCCATAACATGAACATAATTATTGGCTGATCAGGAACTGACATTAAAATAAGTAGTTAAATATTGATGCATCCTACTCACTAGTCAACTAGTCAGTTGTTGGACAACTAGTTCAGCATGCACGTCCATCCCTACTCCAAAGCTCACCACATGAACACAAGAACGACGACAAAGCAGAAAAGAAAACCTGCAATCTTCCACACAACAAATGAGGTTTTCTCAAGGTGTGCACTTTCCCAAGATCTCTTATATAAAACTCTATTATCTCCATTATGACCTGTAAAGCTATAATACTCGCAGTAAACGCAAGAACCGAGAGGCTGATGGGTAACAGGTCATAGAGAAAATGCATCCACCAAATCCTGATACAGCTAAAAGTCTGAGTATGTGTGCTTGTGTGTGACAATAACTATTTTACACAAGGGCCTAATGAAGTGCTTTGTCACACACACACACACACACACACTTATATGCAGCTCATTCCACGGCTACGGCCGCTTTGAGTAATTCTGCTTTAGGATGTGGAGCTGATGGGTGTAGACGGGGGGCCGATGGCGGAGCGGGGCTGAAATTGATTGTTCGACAAGCAGAGACGAGCAGAGAAGGGCGAGTATCGCGCGGCGTCGTGTTCTGTCTGCGACACCACAGGGCCACACGGCAGGGCCTCCATTTTGCTCGTAAAGAGCGCTCTTTAAACTAGCAGGGCCCCTGGGACCCTAACAGAAGGAGGGGGGGAGGAGAGAAAGAGAGCGAGAGGGTGAGAGACAAAAACGGAGAGGGCGATAGCATGAGGGCGGGGGTTGGGAGAAACAGAGCAGCCGCTAATGAGAACGACGAGTGCGCAAACATGCATGGAAATGACTGTTATTCTGTTGATGTGCATTTAAGTGCTTTTTTACTGCCAGCCGACAAAGAGAGGGAAATAACCAGTGATGAATGTTGTCCCCGTAAAGCATTCATTTTCCAACGCGGGAGGGGAAAAAAAGAAGTAGTGAAGACGGGGGGAAAAATGCGCAGCGTTGTTACGCCCGGCAAATATATTATTTGACTTCACTCAAGTGCACTGACAGGACGGAGAGAGAGAGAGAGAGAGAGAGAGAAAGAAAGAGAGAGCGAGGACGGGAGAAGTGGAGAGACTATTTGCAGTTGGCGGCAAGACCAGAGTTGCCATTAAAAAGCCGAATTACCGAATTATCCTGATTAGCGATTGGCTTGTTAACAGCACAACCACTGATACAAGCAATAAACAAAAAGTGCCATAGTTTCTACAGTTACTGTTAGTACCATGGTAAAATCATAATAGACTACTATCTTTAACAGATTAAAAACCTTCAGTTTGTCGCAAACAAAGAGCAGTTGCTGAATTATCTGTGACTTGTTTAAAGTTGCGATGAAATGGAAGTAGTGACAGACCTTTTATTCCTTATTGTGTATATGTTTATTCTATATAAATTCATCTGAGTCGAATTATTGGGGAAAAAAACAATGCTTTGGATCTATGCATCGGTTGTTGATTGGATTTTGAGATGTGGGCGTTGCACTCCAAAATGGAGGTAGATGACTTTTTTATAGACTGTGATGATCCATTTCCAAAGTTATTACCATTGTTAATCTCTTTTATATTTAACTTTTTTTTTTTTTTACAAATGTAATGAACACTACCAGTCAAACGTTTGGGATCTGTAAGATTTTTGGATTTTGAGATGTGGGCGTTGCACTCCAAAATGGAGGTAGATGACTTTTTTATAGACTGTGATGATCCATTTCCAAAGTTATTACCATTGTTAATCTCTTTTATATTTAACTTTTTTTTTTTTTTTACAAATGTAATGAACACTACCAGTCAAACGTTTGGGATCTGTAAGATTTGTAAAAGTTTTTGAATATCTTATCTTCTCACCAAGGCAGCATTTGATCAAAAATACAGTAAAAATTGTGAAATATTATTTCAATTCAAAAGAAATGTTTTCTATTTGAATATATTTGAAAATGTAATTTATTCCTGTGATCAAAGCTGAATTTTCAGCATCATTGCTCCAGTCTTCAGTGTCACATGATCCTTCAGAAATCATTCTAATATGCTCATTTGCTGCTCAAGAAACATTCATTATTATTATAAATGTTGAAAAGCACTGCTTCCAAACTTTTGCCCCGTACTGTACATTTATAACACTATACTTGGTGTTTTATTATCTTGGCATCAAATTACAGAAAACTAATTAAAAGCTGCTGTGTATTTCTAATACAGCAGCTGAGGAATTGACGGCAAATTGAGATTTTTCTCTCTTCTGACCAATGTAATCAATCTCTTGATAAATTTGTATTCTTTCAGAAAGTCATAAAACAATATTATGGATTTTAATTTGCTATTAGGGCAAAGGGAAACACAAAAGGCATGTTGGTTGAAGTTTCACCACTATAAAAGTTTAATACAACTACAGTATAATGGCTTAGGCTTCTGAAAACCCTGAAAATGTGAAAAGGGTTCATAAGATCTACAATATACATTTAGAAAATAGATATTGTGAATTTTTTATTTCAAGCTGACTTTGACAGCGCAACCACTGACATGCAACAAACAGCATAGTTCTCTTAAATTTCACAGAGTTAATCATAGTTTTTGGCAAAATACCATAATTGTCTACACAATTACTTTTGCTACTTCTGTGAATAATCATAAATATAGGATCCTTTTAAAAAAAAATTTGATTTTCAGAATGTTTTTGTCATTTTAATACTTTTGTGAAGACTGATTAATCTGGTGAAATACTAAAGTGTTTAAGTCGATTACCATGGTATATTATATTGCGCATACTAAAAAACATTAATGCACAAATTGCTGGTATTGCTGCATTCCTTGCATGTTATTGTACTAATCTAGTACATAACCCCACAATCATGGACCCTGAAGTACGACCTAAAATCTGCTGTAAATATCAAAGCAATGGAAAAGCAACATTAAAGAAAAAAAAACTGGCTGAATTTTAAACATTAAATTATATTAAGTTTGATTTGAGAAAGAAACAGAGATTTTCTTGGCTTTTCCTCTGACCTGCCGTGGTGCTGATAACGGCCTCGCTCCACTGTTCTGCGCTGGACACGGAGAACGAGCGCTGGTGCATTCCCTCTTTACTAGACCCCAAAGCCACGCCGGCCGCCGAACCCCCGGACTGCAGGGAACTGCTGCTGTTAGAGTGAGGAGTGCCTGCCAGATGAGAGGAGAGAGAGAGATTCAGTTAGAGAGATGTTCAAATCACATTTGTGTGCATATTAGTGCCTTAAGTGTGCATAGCAGTACCTTAAATGTACATATTTGCACCAAAAGTAAGTATAGTACATTCAGAAATAAAGTACAAAAACTGTCATTAGGGCAGTACACTTTGAAAAGGTACTAATATGCAACTTTAAGACACCAATATGTACCCTTTAAGTGGAAATAAGGTACAAAAGTGTACTTTCTGAAAAGATACCATGTCCCATTGACAGCTTTTGTACCTTTTTTCTGAGAGTGTAGTACCTTAAAGATATTAGTTCCTAAAGTGTATATAGTAGTACCTAAATGATACATATTAGCACCTTTTGTAAGGATACCACCCCAGTAACAGCTTACTGTACTGTTTTTTTTTTTTTTTATCTGAGCATGCACGGCATGTTGGAGCTGTGTCCTAAAGGTTTCCACATGTAGTCCAATCATTCTCGATACTATCTCTATCAATAAAAGTGTCAATAAGGCCAAAAACAATCATGTACCATCATATTCTAATGTATACAAGTATTGCAGAAGCTCAAACAGTACAGCACAGCGCTAGCAATGCAAAGGTCATGGTTTTGATTCCCAGAGAATACACAAACTGATAAAATGTAAATCTGAATGCAATGTAAGTCATAGAAGCGTCTGTTAAGCCGGGCTCAGACTACGGGAGTTTTAAAATCCTAACCGATTATGAAATCTGGTTGCAGCACACACATAAGGAGAATCTTTGCAGAGTTTCTTCCCTCAAATGCTAAACACGCCCACACTACAAGATTTGAAAATCGTGGTGCATCACACACTACAAGATATTATTAAGATTATCATGCCAGAGGAAGCACCTGACTAGAGCTGACGCAGCAGATCGTCAATTGACGTTTCAGCAACTAATGTTTACATATGTTAGCTTGCATGCTAGCATGCTTTCTACATTCTGCCGGCATGTTCAAAATTGAGGCTTGTGGTATGTTTTCGACATATTAGACAGACAGTTGTGCTATTGCAAAACTTCCACAAGCAGTTTCCTCCATCTCCACTAACCAATGGGCCCATACAGCAGCTTGTTTTGCGGTCACTTATTGGCTGTTGTGAAAGTTCTAGCCATGATCATCCTGATTTAAGATCCTAAATATCAAACATGTTTGATATGTGACCCTGGCCCACAAAACCAGTCATAATAATAAATAAGCTTTCCATTGATGTATGGTTTGTTAGGATAGGACAATATTTGGCTGAGATACAACTATTTGAAAATCTGGAATCTGAGGGTGCAAAAAAATCGAAATATTGAGAAAATCACCTTTAAAGTTGTCCAAATGAAGTTCTTAGCAATGCACATTACTAAATAAAAATTAAGTTTTGATATATTTACAGTAGGACATTTACAAAATATCTTCATGGAACATGATCTTTACTTAATGTCCTAATGATTTTTGGCATAAAAGAAAAATCTATAATTTTGACCCATACAATGTATTTTTGGCTATTGCTACAAATATACCCCAGCGACTTAAGACTGCTTTTGTGCTCCAGGGTCACATATGATCGGGGAGGCCCCGATTTATGTGCGAGCAGATCGGAAGGTGCAAGATTCAATCTATAAACGCCTCGCATTACCAGATAATCGACACCGAACATCAGAACCGACCAAGGTCCTCGACAAATTTTTTCTCAGATTCTCGAGTTCACAATTGTCGTAAGCCATTGACTATTTTTTTTCCATACTATGGAAGTCAATAGCTACCGGCAATGGTTTGGTTCCCAAGATTCTTCAAAATAGCTTCTTTTGTGTTCAACAGAAGAAAGAAACTCATACAGGTTTGGAACAAATTCACCATAGTACATGTACAAAAATCCAACACATTACTATAGCAAAACTACGTAACTTTTTAGTTATTACTAAAACCTGAAGCCAATCAGCAAACAATCTCAGAAAACCTATTTTTTTTTTACTATAGACACGATGAGAACCATAAAGTGTCAACCAGCTGGAGGGACTAAAGAAAGTATGGTAAAGATTTTGCGTATAGATGTTGTATATCTCATCACCACGTTCGTCTCTTAGTGCTACATGAGCAGTCAGCGCCTCACCCCGTCTCCATACCCTGCTCCCTCTGCGCTTCTGCCACTAATTAGCCCTTAATTAACAAGATACACTCGGAACGGTAATTAGCTCTACCCCACTCTCCGCCTGACACATCCATCTCTCCCGGCAGTGGCGGCTGTGCTGACGGGCCTCCCTGGCTTCAATCAGCGGATGCCCCCGCGTTGGGCGCCACTTCACCGGCCTGGTCGTGTCGCATGGGGTCCTCTCCTCCTGTTCCCGAAAAACAGGCTCCCCACTTGATAGAGACGATGTCTAATATTTAAATCTCGACATTGGAGGCTCAAGGTCAGGTTTTGATGGATACCTACATAATTCTTTTTTCTTGCCTGTTTCTTTTTTAAGATCCAACATTGTTTGCGCTTGGTTCATTTTCAAATTGGTTTTATATTGCCGTTAGCCTATTCTTACTAAATGTTTAAAAAACAGCACATTACATAAAATGACATGTGCTGTTTATATGCTTCAGCTGCTCCTGAGGCTTTAAAGAAACAGTAGATATATCCTTTTGTCTATGCTATGAACTTAAAGGTGGCATCGGAACACATAGTAATTCTTAAGTGTTAACGTACACTGGATCACGAAAATAGAAATCCATTTAAAAGTTTTACCCACATGCACGTCAACAAAAAACTTGAAAAGCACACAGAAAACACTGATATTTTATTTACTAGGCTCTAATGCATTTCACAGTGGGACTAAACTTTTCTCTGTTGTTTTTCGCTTTATGCAATTTTGCCTTTTTCTCCGACACGTTTCCTTCGCTCCCCTCCCTCCGCTGCGCTGATTTGGAGCATGCTAATTTAGCAAGTACTCCACAGCGTGAGCTTGAAGTTCTATCGCTCTCTCCCTGCAAGAGACGCCCTTCCCCTATGGGGACCGCAAGATTAATATTCTCGCACCCAACAAGATAATTACTGATACTAATTAGACATGATTATGTGAATTTGATACACTTATTACTCTCGCTAATGGTTAGGACGCATTAGGCTAACAAGAGTCTGTTCTTCGCAGTTTACTTTAGCGCCTGGCAAAAAAACGCCCTGACACAATCACTAGTAATTCGTGAGTAATTGAAAGAATAGAGGGTTATTCTTATATTTGTCTGTTCGGAGACATGTAATCACCACAGTATTGTTGAAGAGAAGATTTGGTTAATTCTGTCATAATATTGCCCCTGACTAGATCCCTCACCAATAAATTAAATAAGACACCACTATTACTCGGATCAATGCCATACAATATTGGCATCCTGCAGAAGAGGTAATTATTGTTTCAGAGCAAACTGCTTATGAACTATGTATTCATAAAGCTATTGGAGTATCAATGATGTTCCTTTAATGCTCATAAAAACCTGCGGCAATGTACTTAAATGTGATATAACCCACTAACTGATGATGAAGACACTGCAGTCTAAAATATGGATATGCAATAAACAAAATGCAAATACATGTTAATAATTTATTAAGTGTACTGTATACAGTATAATATAGTATATTATTATAATTCTATTAGATGTATTATACATCTTTAAATACTTATACATAATATATAATATGTAAAGAAATAAAATATATTCAGCAATGTACTTAAACATGATGTAACTGATGATTCACCAACTGGATATAATGGATCTATATTTTAATTTAAAAACAAAACTAAATCTACTTATTGTTTTTTTCAGTGTACTATTACATATTCTTGTTCACTTAACCAAAACACTAATCACTCACTCACTGCAGAGCCAATGGGTAGAGCACTACTTGTCCACGCTAGTGTGCACTGTGGCTATTTAGATATAATTTAAATTCTGTTGCTTTTAAATGAAAATTAATATGATTAACAAGGCATTCAAAAGGTCTTGCTATTTATTCTTCCCCCAAAGTTATGACCATTCATTTTTAGTTCAGGGAAGATATAGGCTATGTTAGTTTTTTTTATATATATATATATATATATGCAATGCTTAATAAATTGTTAACATATCATTTACATTTTTAAATATATTTTTTATATAAATATATATTCAATACATCCAGAGTTGGTGAATATATATATATACACACACACGCACATATATACTAAATTAGTTCTATAAAACAAATAAGATGCCTTATGACAAAAATTGGACAAATGTCAATTAAATAAAGAAAAGCTAGAATCATTGCACATCTCAAATAGCAAGAAAAAGTAATCTGAAGTCTATTAGCCGTTAAGTCAGAAAATCTTTGACATGTTTGATGAAAAGTAATTCAGATCTAAGGCGGACATGTCCCAAAATCGACTAAACGAAACGACAGTCCAATATTCCCTTGCTCCAAAACAACTCCTTAAGGACATAATGTCACACTCTTGTTATTTATGATTTTATTTTGTTCCCTCCGTCTTGGCTGGTATGAAAAAAAAGACAAAATAAGCCCCTAACCATGCCTCATCTCCATCAAGAATTCAACAATCATCACTAATTGTCAAATTTGATGCTAATGATTGATGAATTAAACATGTCTCCATCAATTAGTCCCCAGAGAACAATTCTGCATAAAAAAGGAGCTAATGCAATTACAATGTGGAGAAAATCAGAGGAGAGCGCAGGGCAAAGACTGTACACAAGATCTCCTGCCACTTCACACACACGCAGAGCTAGAGGTGACCATGAGGGGTAAATTCTCACAAACACACAGTCAAAAGAGTTAAAAGTCTCTGGGATGTTTACAAAACTCTGTTTGTTTGAGTGGTTGTGACTGAATGGGATGTAGGAGTGTGTGGAAAACCTGTTTGGAAACAATCATCAGCACAACCACCAAAAACAACCACATAGCAACAACCTGGCAACCATACACAAAACCTAAGCATCATCGTAATGAATGCAGCACAAAACACGTTAAAAAACAAAACAAAAAAAGGATTGTTATTGTTTATAATTTGATGCATTAGATATTTTAAATTATGTATTTTAAAATTATGTATTTATAAAATTAAATTACAATAAAATATTTGTAATTTATGTATTTATCATATAATTAATATACAGTATTAACATTAGTACAAAATATTAATATATTATATACAGTATAATATAATAAATAAATAAAGTATATCTATCTATCTAAAAATGTAATTCATGTATTTATAATATATTGTATTATATATTTTCATAAAATTATCATATTATGTATTTATAATATTAAAGTATGTAAATGATCATATTTATGGAATTTATGTTTATATATTATAAACACATAAATTACATAAATATTATCAATTTAAGTATCTATCATCCATCTAATATAGATATTATAAAGATATTATAAATATAGACATACAGTGCATTAGATATTTTAAATTATATATTTTAAAATTACGTATTTATCAAATTAAATTACATAAATATGATCAGATTTATAATTGATGTATTTATCATACAATTAAAATACAGTATATTAACATTAGTATAAAATATTAATATATTATATACAGTATATATTTATTATATTATACTGTATATTATATACAGTATAATATAATAAATATATAAAGTACATCTATCTATCTAAAAATGTAATTCATGTATTTATAATATATTGTATTATATATTTTCATTATATTATAATATTATGTATTTATAATATGAAAGTACGTAAATAATCATATTTATGTCATTTATGTTTATATATTATAAACACATAAATTACATAAACATGATCAATTTAAGTATCTATCATCTATCTAATATAGATATTATAAATATAGACATATTACAAAGACATAATATAGATAACTTAATACAGATAGTACTAATAATATAAAATAATAAAATAACAACATAAAAATCAAGTTCTGTTCGGTGCCACTAGTGTCACGGAAACTGCACTCTACATCTTTAAAAACAAATGTTTCACTAAACTTGATAATTATGTGCTTAGACGGCTCTGTTGTGCACGCACGTACAAACGCTCAAATCACTATCAGATCATGCATAGAAAAAACACCCAAATCTCCTTTGCACTTTTCTAGCTATCTGTACACGCTATTAGGCTAAGTACTCGGGTCCTAGTTCTCATCCTCACCCCCACCCGCCATCTCCTCAATCCCACACACCCCCCAGAGTTCCTAATGGTCTTTAGATCAGAGGGAAGTGTATGAATTACAGACTACAGAAAAAGACAGGGCTCAGCTAGACCGCCATGAATGAAAAATTACCCCTTTGTTCCCTCGCATCAATTGCATTCCTAATGAAATCAAAATCAGATTGCATAATCAAGCGTACGTCTTCCACTCGGCGGAGGCCCACTGCGAATCGTAACCTTTTCCCTCTCGAGTGAAAATTAACACAATTTTCTTCTAATACGGCGCAGAGTTGAATAGAGAAACTGGAAAAGAGGCCGTGTCAAAGCGGGACCCAAGCGTTACGGCATAAATTTGTGCTAAACCGAAGGTCAAATGGCGTATCTGGAAAATAACACCAATAAAAAGCCATCTCAGAACTGTTAATGATGTATCAAATATGTAAAAACACAAGATAAACGGTTTCTGTATATATATATTCCTATACATTTTTTTTCAAAAGGTCAAAACTGGTTATAAAAATGGCTTGAACCCATTTTCCTCATGTAATGTGACGTATTTCCAAGCAAAATAGAAAACGCACTCAAATTTATATGTCAGGAATTGACTGATCGTGAAAAGTGGACAGTGTTAATCTGACTGACAACATAAAAGTAATATTAAAACTTACATTTGCAATCAAATGCTTAGGTGAAACTGAACTAAGCTATGTATTAGTGAGAATGTGTGACTGCGTTGTGAATAGTTACTGTAACAACATACTAAGTGCAAGTCGATACCTAAACATTCTCTTAAATTCAAAATTAATAATAGCCTCTAAAGCATAATTCATAACACATTTTATGTTGATAAATCTTTCATGTTTGACATGTTTAAATGATTTAACATTTTTCAAAATGTTAGATTTTTTTTTTGTTTGCCAGATATTTCCATTTTTCACATTTTTGTTATTAACTAAAATTGTATTTATCATCAACTAAATTTTACATCATTTTGGAGTAAAATGGATTAAATGACTGAAATATTGACATCAACGGGGAAAAATATGTAAAAATTAACATTGAAAGTGTGATTGGTGACAGTGGAAAATTAAAGCAATTTTTGAGGCCAAGTAATTATTAGTAATTAATCATTAGGTAATATTCATTATTAAACAATTATTATTATTTTACGTAATTATTAGATTTATATATACAGTAGAAAGATTATTAAGACAATTATTTGGAATACTGTTCAATCATTCACAATGAAACCAGAAATATGTATTTGAGAGAGGAAAAAAAAAATCAAATATTTTAAATATAAAATTTCATTTTCATGTTGGTTTTCTGTGATACATTACATCCATGTGTGCAACTAGGCTTTTAACCTCAATACAAATGTAACCAGTCTTAACTAATGCTCTTATTCGTGTGCATCTGCTGCCTGAGGCCACGTTTGAGCTCTTTACCCAGAAATCTCTATTTTCTGTAGCTTGAATAAAACAGGTCCAGATGTTGCGACTATTTCAGGTCCAAATGCCCCAAAATTTTCCTCCTTTCAACCTTATGTTCACCCTCTCCTCTGCAGTCGACTGAAGGTTAATTAGTTGCCAACCTGAAAGCATGATCAACTTTTGTGGTTCTCTGAGCAACCCGATTCATGCGGCCCAGCAACACTGACAAATGCTCCTTATGTCTCTGTGACTAATAAACCCTCTTCCCTATCCAACACAAGACTGGACACGTGCCAGAAAACTGCAATTCCCAGAAGCCCTTGCTAACCTGTCTTTAATGGTGCAAAAGCAATTAGCTCAAGCTAAGTGATGCTGAGGTCCTGGCCGGTTATGTTTCCACAGCGGTCGTGCCAGCTTGCAGAGCCCCTGGAGAGAGTTGCTCCTGTTTTTTATTAATTAGACATGATCTCAGCTCCCTAAATCCAATTATACCTTCCCAAACTCCCTCACATTCTTGCAGGGCAAAAATAAAGCATATTCAGCCAAAAATGAAAATCAGCACTACAAACAACCTAACATAAGTTTTCTGAGTGGATATGAATGACAGGTTGGTCAAATAGTTCCTGATTTTTAATATACATTAGGAATTTTCCCCAAAATTAACTTTTTGACGAGAAATCGATTTAACATGGATTAAAAATTTTAGTTTAAATATAAACAACCTGATTTGTGGGTTGTTAATTAATTAATTAATTTATTTATTTAGTCATTTAGCAGATGCTTTTATCCAAAGCGACTTACAAATGAAGACAAAAGCAGCAATCAATTGTAGTATTAAAACAACTAAAAACAGATCCAAAACTAAAAGCTAAAACTTTATAAAGTTTGTTAAGTAAATAATTATAAACAATTATAATGTTAGTTTGTGGCCTAAAAATACTGCAACACATTTTGTTTGCATTTTGAATGCATTTTAAATGCAATCAAATGTACTTTTTAAATACTCGTTCAGTTATTGTGAACAACTTATTGCACATAAAAAAAATTGTCTTTGCAATTTCCCATGAGAATTTTCATGAAGAATGAATGTAAATATAACAAATATATGTATATATATATATATATATATATATATATATATTGTTGTAAAAATTATTTGGCTGTTGTGTTATATAAATATATATATAAATAAATATATATATATATATATATATATATATATATATATATATATATATATATATTGTTGTAAAAATTATTTGGCTGTAGTATTATTTAGCTACCAAATCTAGTATAAAGCTTTTGGGTATTTAAGCATTTTCTAGTATTTATATATATTTAAATATTTTCTAGTATTTAAGCATATTCTAGTACTTTTTTAACTTTACTTTAATGCACATTCATTGTCTAAGTGTGAACTAATTTTTTATTGTACATTACTTAAAAAAAATTGTCTTCACAATTTTCCATGAAAATGTAACATAATAACTTGCTTCACCTATCGAATATCTTCAAACAATGAATAAATTCATCGGTAACACTTTACAATAAGGGTTATGTTAATTAGGGGTTAGGTTAATGTATTAACTAACATTAACTGGATGTAACAAATGCCTCGTTTATAATGAGTTTTAATGTTTTTGAATCGTGGCTCCGGCCGGACACGGCATCACAGTATGGTAAGGGGCGTAACATTTCCGTCACACCCTTGAGGTATTCGGCCAATCTGGATAGCTGGCCAATCACAGCACACCTCGCTTTTCAGTCCGATGAGCTTTGTAAAAATCGACGCGTTTCAGAAAGGCGGGGCATAGAGGAGAAACAATAATGTACAGTATGTGGAAAATAATGTGTTTTTTTAACCTTAAACCGCAAAAACACATTTCATTACACCAAATACACAAAATAATGTTCTTTTTAGCAACATCATATGACCCCTTTAATGAAAAAACAGTTGTTCATTGCTAGATTATGTTAATTCACAGTGCATTAACTAATGTTAACAAGCACAACTTTAGATTTTAATAATGCATTAGTAAATGTTGGAATTAACATTAACTAAGATCAATAAATGCTGTAGAACTATTGTTCATGCTTAGTTCATGTTAACAAAAGTAGTTAACTAATGTTAACTAATGAATCTTATTGTAAAGTGTTACCAGATCATCAATTTTAAGGCATAATATCACTGCCAGAGATCAAACTCACTTGTGGCCCCGATGCCGAGTTGTAAAGTGCTGCGGTCTTTGGTCAGTCCGTTGGTTTTGGGGCTGGCTGTAGGGGCGACCGTTGCCACTGCTCTGGGCGGCCTCTTCCCGGGTACCTTTACTGTCGTCCGCAGCAAATCAATTTCTTTACCGTGGACGTTCTGCATGTAGTCCTGAAAAATGAAACATGACATTGTGTAGTTTTAGATCTAGGCCGGGAAAAATGTAAACATGTTTGACACACTGTGAACGAGATTAAGGCTGTAAAAGATGTAAAACAATTTTCCAAAATTAAACATTTCAGCTTCCAATTCAATTCAATTTAATGATAGCTTTCTTAATGAGTAGGAACAAGACTATTTTAGTAAAACAATTTTGGACGAATGCACACTACTCTGAAAAAAACTGGTGTAGAAATGGCCAGCAAATTTCAAGAAATGGCAAGTAACATTGAATTAAGCATTACATTTAGAAAAAATTTAATAGCATTTTCTTGTAAAAGTACTCCAATAATTGAAAAATTATTTTTTACAGCGTACCTGAGCCTACAATTGTCATAAAAATCACTTGGTTCCAGTATTGTTCCAGTAACTCCAATTGATATTTTCTAGTATTTAAGTCTATTCTAAAATGCAAGTATTTCAGTTCTAGATTTTAAGTATATTGTAATATTTCTAGTATAATTTTTTGAAATTATAGACTTAAGCGAACTTAAGACATATTTTCAATATTTTGAAAATGAATTACACTCAACAGTAGACTTCATTGAGATATTTTTTCGAAGATTACTGGATTACGTTTTACAAGAAAATTCTATTTGACTATTTTCTAAAATACTTTCTACTTCAAAAGTTCATTTAATTGTCAATGTGCTACTTAATAGGCCTTTTTTTGTAATCATTTGTGAAATTTACTAGCAATTTCTGAGTGAAAATTGTTTCTAAATCAACTTTTATCATCCACTGCTTAATTTCCATTTGCATCAAATGAAACACGCCACCAATTTTAACTAAAGTTTACATGAACAAACAACGCACCGATGCAGCGCATCTATAACCTATCTAAGAAACTTTTTAGAGGTCTTGTAAAACGAACACAGTGGCTTTGGACAATCAAAACAGCACCAGGCACACACAATCTATTTCACCTGCTTCCACGCTGCCGCAGATTAGCAAAATTAGCATTAATGACTGTGCTCAGACTGTGTTCCCATTTAAATCGGGCTATTCCATTTTCATGGGAGTTTGCAAAGCGCAAATGGGCTAAGCCGAGGTGCAAATCACCCTGCTCAGCACAAAAGAGGCGAGCAGAGATTTCGGCCTCGGAAGTCTCCCGCCAACTCCTCTTCACTTTTATTGCGCCCCATAAAGCACTAATTTCTTCAAAAGCCTCAGTACTAATTACCCAGTGAGCGCTCTCATTCCATTTTATTGCTGGAATTAACAGCCAGTTTGAGGCGCAGAAAGCTATTAAGATGTGTGATTAAGCCATATTCAATTAGTTTCTACAAACAATTTAATTGATGTAGCAGACAGAATTAACAGAAGGGGATTGTGGGATAGCTCGGCTGGCTGCGGCGCAAAATTAAACCATCTTTTCTGTCTCTCTCTCTCCCCGTCTTTCTCGTTGAGCTAAACGAGTGGTCCACAGGTGTCCAAACCCAAACGTCTCTAACGATTATGACGCCCGTGGCATCGTGTGCCTATTACACACATCGCTGGCATGAGATGTGCATTATATCGCTAATAAACATGCGGTTGATGTGAGAGACGTGAGTTTGGCCAAGATATTAATTTCGGTCATAGTCCGTGGAGGCCGCTAAACTTGTCTCGTGTACCGTGTCTCGCACGGTCAAGGTACGCCGCTTCTCGAGTGGATCTTAATTAGGAGGCCCTTATTAATTACTAACCTATGTTAAAAGCGTAGGAGAAACACGAGAACGAAGATAGGCGTGAGCGAGACGTATGCAAATGAGGGGGAACGGTGGAAAAGGGCCGTGTGAGAAAGCCAGAGAACCAGAGGCAGGGGATTTTCGGAGGTATTAAGAGCACGCGGGGGTTCTGACAGAGATGAATGTTCCCGCGGCGACTGCCGTAAGAAACGTGCGCTGCCGTAGCAACCGGAGAGCAGCTGACCTGTCCGGCTCTCGTCTGTATTATTGGAAACCTAGAAAATGCATAAGAAATAGCAAAGAGTCTCTTATACTGAATCTAAACTGTTTCAAATGGGAGTCATTCAAATTAAATTTCATTAAAACATGCTAGACAACCCCATCGATACGTCCCGTCCAAACGTACGGTTATGTCAACGTCATAATCGATTTCATGGTGTGTTTTTTTTTACTGGAATGTGAGGTCTGATTTGTGAACACTTCACTTTTTATGCAAAAGTGTTCAAAGGAATCAAAGTGTTTGTAGATAACTTGACGCTAAAGGAAATCAGATGTTAAAAGAACTTTAGGAGAACATCAGAGGAACATTCTCCACACCTAAATCCAACATTCTGTTTATATGAAGTAAACTTTCCTGGCTAACCAAGACAGAACCTTAGATATACTGTATATATATTATTTTCATAACTTTTACAAAATCCAAAACAAACAATAGGCCTAACTCATAACAAACAGAGAGAGAGAGAGAGAGAGAGAGAGAAAAACTTCATATAATCAACAATCTGTGCAGTATATAAAATGAAAAGCAAGAGAGTAGGAAGTCAATTTTAGGAACATTCTGAGAACAAAACTAGTTTTCTTAAAATGATCTGGAATCCATAAATTACTGTTAATTAACTGTAATAATTCTTAATGAATTATATTAAGAATTTGGTTAAAATGGCAAGTAACACATTGAATTAAGGGTTACATTTAGAAAAACAGAAACAGTATTTTCTTGCAAAAGTTTCTCCAATAATTGAAAAATAATTTTTTACAGTCTACCTGAACCAACATGACCAAATGTCATAAAAATAATTTGATTTCAGTATTATTTAGTTACTGACTCACTGAATGTTTTGGGGAAATAAAGTATTTCATATATAGTATTTAAGTCTATTCTAGCATGTAAGTATTTAAGTGCTAGTATTTAAACATATTCTAAAAAAATGTTTGTGAACTTGAAACATTTTTAATATTCTGAAAATGACAAACAAAAATATTTTTGATTATTATTATTATAAATTATTTTTGAAGTTGTAAATATAGCAAAGATTACTGGATTACATTTTACAAGAAAATGCTATTTCAGTCTTTTCTAAAAATTCACGTTTCATTCAATGTGTTACTTGCCTATTCTTTGTAATTATTTGTGAAATTTACTAGCATTTTCTGAGTGAAAAGGATGGTTAATAGGTAAACGTGTGACGCCAAACTGGTATGCATGAATTTACACCAAACATAAATCAGTGAATCATTTATTTGAACTGGCTGACTGAACTGATTCAGCAATATGAATCAGACTTCTGATCTCTAACAGCAGAGCAGGTGACATACTCACATGTAAACTGGGATGGTACGTGAGCAGACCGTTGTCACACAATGTGACGTATTTCTTCTTCCACTCCTTATTAAGTGACTTCCCACTTCTTTTTAACAAAATCCCCTGTTCAAGACAAAAACAATCAGTTATGAGAAGATTTCAAATCAGAAAACATTCACAATAGTCTGAATAAACGACCAGCTGGGGCATTTTATGAAGAAACACTTTAAAGATCAGTATAAAGGAGGATCAGATGTCAAGACACTGTCATAAAGTAGAGCAGAAGTTTCCCCATACAGCACCGTGAAGCTTCATGTTCATTCACACACACTCATTTGCATTCAATTAAGGCTTATTTATACAGTGTAGATTTTCAGTCAATTTTCACATTGTTAAAACAAAACAATGCATCCCTATAGAACTCATCCCGCTGAACATTTGCAGTCAAACGGATGTTTTGTTTTACTTTTAGTATGTTTCGCTCACGTTTGTTCATGTGATTTCTTCAGTGACTCGCATCAGTTTATTATGCCATTCTTATATTGGTTTAGCAAACGATTCATCCAAAATGACAAATTAGAAATAATACAAAAAAAGTACAAAAAGCAGCCAGAAAAAAAAAAAACATTAGAAATGTATAAACTAATAATTAATTAAATTAATAAACATACAGAATAATATTTTCATACATATAATATATGTATGAAAATATTATTCTGTTTGTTTATTAATTTGATGGTTCTATAAAAGGTATCTTGTTATGGCAAAAAGATGCTGAATGAAATTAATTTAAAATATGTTTTCAAAACTAGGAGTGACAAAAGGGTGAAAGATTGTTTTTAGCAGGTTATTTGGAAACAATGTAATGTTTTTTTCTGGCTGCTATGCGGTTGTTCTTTTTGTTTTAATAATATATATATGATTATTTCTAATATATATATATATATGTATATTTTTTCCATGTAAGCTCCCCACAAAACTTTTCACACTTTTCACTCCGTTTTGAAAACATAAATAATATAAAAATACATAATATATAAAATACTTATATATTTGAAAACATATTAAAAATAAAAAAGTAATTACATTCTGCATCTTTATGCCATAACAAGCTACTTTTGATAGAACTGTCAAGTTAATAACGTACAAAAAAATTAATTTACATAAATAATTTACATAATATTTTTTATAATACATATATTTTACTTACAGTATTATATTATATTATAAAATTCAGAGCAATCAATTCAACCATATGATATTTCTAAACAAAACAATTTTATTTCAGATAGGTGGGACAAATAAAGTACATATAAAACTTTGCTTTGTGACATTATTATCCCACCCTCTGATCTCTGACATCAGCGATTTCTGGTCCAAGACAAGTAAGTTTAAGGAAAAAATTCCAGCCCAGAACCACTTTTCCATTGGTGAAGAAGAATGGGTTTGGCACCGGCTCCGTGTTTGTGCTCATGAAGGCCTGTGAGGGGCTCATATCAGTGCTGTGGGGGGAGAGCAGAGGCTAAATCCAATTTGTGCACGGACTCGGTGTGTATTCTTTCACCTGTCAGACCTCTGCGAGCACGAGGATTAGAGCCTGTGATCCCCAGCTCTTCAAAAGCTTCCAGCCTCTGTCCTGTCCCCTGCTCAAGGCCTCACCATCAATCTCCCGCTGTTCTTTTAAAAAAACACTCACTGAGCACTTATCCCCTAAAGTCCAGCCAGGACAAACACTCCCCGGCCAAGACTGGAAGTGCACAGAGGTGTTCAGGGGTGGGCGGCAGGGAGCAAAGGGGGGTTTGGGTGGCCTGTTTTGGCTTAATTAGGGGATTAGGGAAGATTCCTGTGCTCTTTACCACTTCCTGTTGGGAGTGAGAGAGTAGGAGGGCTCTGATGTGTTAACCGGCCAGCCCCGACCCTGAAGGGGACTAATCCACATGAAGAATACACTACTTGCTAAACATCAGGTGCTGACCCGGGGTCAACTGGGTATCATGGTGTTTACCCCACAATCAAGTCCTAATCCTCTCCTCGCCTAGATCTGATCTCTTCACGGATATTCTCTCTCCTCAATACAGCTCCATCAACTCAACCGCCCTAGAAATACTACTGAAAACCTGTTGACACTTAAGAGTCTCTCAAAAGGACTTTGTACATTACTTTGTAACATATATGTTTTTTTGCATTTGGATAAAAGCGTCAGTCAAATGCTCAAAATGAAATAAAATCAAATATGTAAAGAACAGCTTGTTATATATAATTATATATTTATTTATTTTTATATTATTACATTCACATAAGCTCAAACAGTAAATAAAATAAAAGAGCAAAGAAAGTGTTAAAAAACCCAACTTAAACAGTAAGTAAAATAATAAAAAATATATTATGTAAAATAAAATAAAATATAAAATAAAAATGATACATAAAAAAATTAAGTAAGCAGTCACAGCCATCTTCTAATTTATTTATTAATTTCTCCAGCTCTGACTGATTGAATAATCCTGTAGAAACACTGTAAAGAAAGATGTGGTTGAGTGCTTTGGTCAAACTTGTCTTCTTGCCTGTATTTGGTGGCCACAATATATCATGAACATTATGCTGGAAATGTAATTTTTTGAAGCAGCAGCCATCTGTTAGCTGAACTGGTCTTTCATTATTTGTTCAATAATGCCTGTGTATCTACAGCAGTGCTATTGGTTTGCCAATCAAATAACTGAAATGGCCAGCCGGGTGACCTCTTCTGGCAACGGCCTCTGTGTTTGTACATGAACGTCACAGTAGTCACATCTGTTTCGAACAGTCATGGATGCATAAACATGATCGGTGAAATCACACCCCACAGTGCTGAAACAGATCGATGCTAAAGCAGAGAAATATGAACGTCTAGCAGCAATAAAAAAAAACAGGGTTGATTTGTGGAACTTGACAAATGACCTCTATGTACTTCGATAATTCAGATATTAAAACAATATTTTTTAAATCATTAAAACACATGTTCAACCTATTCCTTACAAAAAGAATCATTATAAAAAAGTGCTAATATGTTTTTGAAGGCGATGATGGTAATACCAAAGTATTATTTGAAGGTTGCACTAAGTGTCATAAATCTAAATATCAGAAATCAAAATAAAGTGCCATATTGCCATCTGATATCATCAGTGTACAATGATATCAGATTTTTTGTGCAAGGGATATATTATTACAGTAAATCATTTTTTAAGAATTTCAGTAAAATAAAAAAACAATCATATATTTATAACTTAATAAATTCATATTTTTAAATAATTATACATAATTGTAGTGTTGTGTTGTATTACCTTGATGTAAATAAATGAATTGCATTACAGTAAATTTTGAGTGTAAAATAAATAAAAAATGTAAATAAATTGCATTACAGTAATATGAGGAAAACAATTATAGAAAATTTGAAGCAAGTAAATTGCATTACAGTAAATTCAGAGTATAAAATATGATAAATTACAATAAATTGTTAATATAAAATAATAAATAAAATATGATTATAAATTGCAAATTGCATTGAGCATAAAATAATCGAAATTTCGATGTAAATAAATAAATAGCATTACAGTAACTTTTGAATTAAAAAAATAAACAATTGAATGTAAATAAATTGGATTACAAATATAATGAATAAAATATTAGAAAGAAAAAAATAAAAGAAAAAATAGAGAACAATTTATGTAAATAAACTGCATAACATAAAATTGAGTAAAAAAATATTAGAAATTTTGATGTAAATTAAATTTAGAGTATAAAATGAATTGATGTTAAAACTTGTATTACAGTAAAATAAGTATTAAACTGCATTACGGTATAATAACATTCACCCTAATGCCAACCAAAAGGTAGTTATTTACCAAGATGAATATACAAACGCCTTATTTAATGCCCACACACCTGTCTGTCCTCTATCTGCTAAACCTACAGAGACACAGACAGCGACCCCTCTCATCCTGCAGCTCAAACAGACACGTCTATCATCAGGATGGCCTCCGTTCTGTGGTCGGCGGAGGAGGAAAGAAAGAGGAACTTACTGGGATTAAACACAAAAGCCTTCTGTTGACAGTCTCCCTGTGTCACCCCTGAGCTATCACTGCTATTGTTGTCCTTATTTACCATTTTTACTGATTGGGAGGGGTGTGGGGGGGTCCACAGTGTGTAATTTGCCCAGTGGGAGGTAATTATACTCCCATGGCACTTTGATCTTCCTGACTGTGCATTTGACTGGCCAGGGAATCAGCTCCATTGAAAGGTATGCCAGCATGGTCAGCGTCCCCCCTCTCCTTTACTCTCTCTGTGACTCTCCACTACAGACACACGGATTACAATGACGGCTCTTAAAGGGATAATCTTTAAAGCTGAAGTGTAATTGATGTACAATGGAGGTAAAGTTGAGGTTGACTGAGAGGATACAGACGTGTGATATGTTAACTGTGAGAGGGACGCACGCGTCACCCCCGTCATCTTAATGCTATGATCCATATACACCTGACTGCTCATTCACTTTTCAGTAAGAAAAAAAAAATGAAATTGAGATTCATTTACTTTTCAGATCTTTAATTTATAATAAAACTGCCTCATGCAAACTGCAGTCCAGTTACTTGTATAAAATGTATGTGTGCATTTTTTTCTCAGAGCACACAACAGAAACTGATTTCTGAATTACGCTTGACTGCATTAAATCACAAAATTCATTTAACAACAAACTACTTTTGTAAACTGTTCTAAACTGTAAACTTTTTTCAAAACTACTATATGTAAAATATTTGTAAACTAGTTTTGTAAACTACTTATAAACTACCTTATTTGTAAACTACTATCTGGAAACTATTTCCAAACGACTTCTAAACTAGTTTATTTATATAATATTACTTGGAAATGATTTCTAAACTACTTTTGTAAATAATTTTTGTTTAAACTAACTTATATGTAAACATCCCTAAACTACTACATGGCAATAATTTCTTCAATAAACTACTACTATTAACTACTTTAATTTGGAAACTATTTAAACGACCTTTGTAAAGTAATTCTAAACTATTTTATTTAAAAACAATTTCGAAACTACTTTGAAATGATTATTTGTAAACTACTTCTAAACTAGTTTTGTAAACGAGTTCTGAACTATCTTGAAAAATTACCATTTGAAAACTATTTCTGAAGAACTACTATTTGGAAGCTACTTCTAAACAATTTTATTTGGAAACTATTTCTAAACTACTATATGAAAATTGTTTTTAAATTACTTTTATAAAGTTCTTCTAAACTACCTGATTTGTAAACTACTATTTGTAAACCACTTCTAAACTACTATATTGAAACAATTTCTAAATTAATTTTATAAACTGATTCTAAACTACTTAATTTTTAAACTACTATATAGAAACTATTGCTAAATATACTTGGAAAAACTCTTTTGTATGTAAGACTTTAAAACTCTTTTGTATGTAAATTACTGCGTGCAACCGGATTTGCTTAAAGTCAGAGGTTGCATGTGACGCTTGTCATGGGGATGATGTCTGTTCAATGTGACAATGCTAATCTCTGGCAGAGGTTAAAGGTTAAGGCTAGGGTTAATTTGAAAATTGAATCAGAGGCTCAAAAAAGAACAAATGAATGGACAACTCTACTAAAGAAAAATAAATATTTGACAGCTACTCCGTCAATAACTACTGCTAATTACCAAGATCAATCCTTTCAAAACCACATTAGCTCTTTCTGACGTCAGGCGGGGTATTTCGATAAACAGAATTCAATTTCTGTTCAAACCCATACAATAAAAAAAACTGACTAATGTAGAATGTAAAAATGTTTAGACATTTCTTTTTCCTGAATGTTAAAGGTTGCCAAAAGTTTCTGTACATTATTTAAAAAACCCAGTTCTAAATCATATTCAATCATGATAAATATATATATATAGATAAATAGATAGAGACACACACACAAATAAATAAATAAATATATATATATATTAGCACTGTCAAACAATTAATTGCGATTAATCGCATCCAAAATAAAAGTTTTTGTTTACATAATGTGTGTTTTGTGTATATTTATTATGTATATATAAATACACACACATGCATGTATATATTTAAGAAAGATGTTATGTTTATGTATTAAATACATATTTATATAATATAAAATATAAATATATAAATGTAAATATTTTCTAAAGATTTCCTAACATGTAAGTTCATGGACATTCAAACACATCATGAGAAGAGCAAGCCAAAGACTGAATACCAATTTCTTATAATGTTGCAATTGATTCACAAAAAAGATTTTGGAGCAAAGAGTAAGTTGCCAAATAATTGTGATATGCATTACACAAATATAATTTGAATATACATAATATAATTATAATAATATACATATAATTCAGCATTCTGCATACCAACTACCACCATTACTGACAACAGGTTCAACAGAATAAGCAAACAAAGTTAAACTGTGTTACACTGACATCTGTTGGTCGCACAAAGAAACTGACTGAGAAAGCCTAAAACAATCAAGTCCATAATTTCAAAGTCTTTAAAAAGTGTGCATGCTCTTTTAGTGCTGACACACACACACACACACACACACACACACACAACTCATATATACACACAAAATCACTACTTAGGATATTGACTAATCCTCATAAACGATATACAGTCCTACCCTATAACAGTGTACTTACCTCATATAATGAGTGTACGAATGTGGTGACGTACCTGTTTGATGGGTATGGCCCTTCCACTCCCTATACTGTCAGTTTTACTCTCAATGCTCTTTGTCTGATCACTGGCTTTCCGTGACTGCAAAGAAACAAGACAAGATGTCAGTGCAAAGAACAAACTGGGAACACACGTGGAGGTGGGGAGGGTGTGTGTGTGTCTGTGAGTTGTGCCTTAACTCTAGTGTGTGTGCATGTAAAGTGAAGTGAGTGTTGGTGTGTGTTGTGGGGGACAACATAAAATCGCAAGAAAAAGGCTCAAATAAACGCGCGCAAGCAGAACGGTGCAAACATACAGCAGCACACTGAACGTGCAGTATATATAAATATATATTTACACAGACCAGGACAGACACACAGAACAAAACGACAACGGAAAAGATCAAGTTCGACCAATAACGAAACACAGGAAGTCAGAACTAAACCCCCCAAGAGCTCTTTTGTGATCTTTGGCACCTCTCTGTGGCTTTACCAACCACAGACGCAAGTCAGTCCAACCACAGTAAGATTCAAACAATACAAGAACATTAAATGCAGCTTTATACACAAATGTGAGAGAGGTTAGCAGAGGGGAAACAAGAAGAAATGAATACGGTGCATCTTTTCCCACAGCTTCCACCTGTTAAAACATCGGATGAACAAGTCAGGCGAGAATAAAAAAGATTCAGAATTAGGGTTAGATTCACAAACATTTCAAACAAAGCAAAATCAAGGGAAAGAAGGTTAGGGAATTAATTTATACATCATTTCAGCTCTGGATTTCAAGACGTCCTTTGCTTTTCAGTGGCTAGAAATGGCATTAGGGAAAGAATAAACGCTAAACAATGAATTCTCTCATACAAAACGACCCACAATGCAACATGAATGAGCATTCATACCCGACAGACAACATTATGGTCTCATACGAATCAACATGTGGCGCTCATTCGCAAATGGAGAGAAATAGATAAAGATTCATGATCGACTCAAATAAACTAGGCTAATGAGTATTTTTCAACAGTTTATTTTTTTCGTTTGGATATATACAGACACCATACAAATCAAGTCACAGGTTTACGTGGAAATAGGCAGAGCCACACATTGCAGTTCCCACAAGAGAGAGTTTGACTAAAGAGGCGCTGTTTCATATATCTCATATATGTATAGAATATACTTTCTATAGAATACCATTGGAAATCAAATTCAATACAAGATATACGGCAGTCTATATTTGTCCAATATTAAATTATATAAAAAAATGAAACAGTGTGCAATGCATCGAACAGTTCATCTCAGCACATCGTCATGAAATAAAAAAAAATGAATAAGCAAAAACAATTAAACAAAAGAACAAAATAATGGCTCTGGGTCACAAATAGATACTACATTCATACAAGTCGGTGCATTTCCGTCACGCTTCTCTACGTCTATGAAGGCCTTCATATCGTTCAGACTTCACACCGAGCGAGGAAACCGCATCCGGGCGTCGCCACGGCAACTGCATCAACTAAACGAGCAGCTTTATAAATGCATCACAACGCAATGTGACGTCTCAGGGCATCATGTGACATCAGTTTCACGGTTAAATGGTGGTCAGCATATCGGTCGGCACGAACAAGTAAGCTATGTCATCCGGATTCACATCTTTTTATTGTTGAGGGATCCGTCGCTATGCCGACCGTGCAGCATCAGGACCTCGACTAGCATCACATTCCAGTATGACGTGGTTTACAAAGCCGCGGTCTTGTTAATAAAGATGACACGGGAGCCACGGGGTGCGGTTTGTGGCGTTCGGTGTGAAGTGTGACCAGCTAAACTAACCCATCAGACACAGAACTCAAAGGAAAGACAGGCAAAACAGGAAAATAAATAGGAAGAATAAAAAGAGAATATCTTGGCAAAGTGTTCGGAATTACCGCAAAAGTTCTGTCCGTTTGAGTTACAAAGTATCCTTTCCATTAAATTTTGGACGTTGTTGATGGCTATTGTCCGGGTTTGTTCAGTGCATGATGAACATTTAGCAATAAAATGACTGATTAAGATTCAGTTCAATGTGTTCAGGTAACGCAAGTTCGAAATCTGTCTTTTTCTGTCCAACCAAATGTCCTTTACACTCAACCATGGCTGCCAAGGGGCAAGTGTCCAAGAAAGCCATGGTGATACCCACGATGCAATGCGGGCTATTAGGGGGAATAAAGCAGCGCTTGTTTGCTAGTCCTCACTGAGGACCCCCTCCCATAATGCATTGCGGTCGTACCACCACCACCATCAAGGGCTCGTCTAATTGAGGAGAAGCTGGAAAGCCCTTTTAGTTGAAGAAAGGTTGGAAACAGAAGAACAAATCTGGAAATATCGACAAAAACAGTTCAACACTTTGGTCACGGGAAGAGTGGACAGAGGGGGGGGGGGGGGGGAAGCAATGGATTGCAAAATAAATGCGTAGACATCTAGATTGGGAGATGATGGCGGATGTAGTATGATTATTGGCTTTTTACAGGGCAAAATAGTGATGATGTGTCGAGAAAATAATGACATAAAATAAACCCCTTCCCTCTTCCTGTTCACTCACAGAATGAAAAATAAACAGACGCCACATTAGACCGATGACAAAAATATCTGAATGGTCATTTTAAGTATCATGGAAGCACTGTGCTTAGTTTCCTGTCCTCTGCTGACATCTAGTGGCAAAGACACACACTTATGAAATGATATTAATGTGAGAATGTTATGAATTATGAGGTGACAGGAAATATTACTAAATCGGCAAACTGTTGGTTTAATATTATTCAATAATTACATGAGCTTTAGTTTTACATTTTTAAAAAGTAACTATTATTTTTTATAATATCTTTAACAAAATATTTAATTATGGCTTTCTTTAAAATGTAAATATTTTATTTTTAATTTAGTCTGGGACAAAATTATTTGTTACTGATTGCAAACAAAAAAATCCTAAATTTTTAATTCAGTCTTACCTTATTTTATTGACACTGGTATTTTTATTTATATATATATATATATATATATATAAAATTTTCTTTCTTTGTAGGTGACCGTCCAAATTTATACCCTTTACTCTACTAGGTAACAAATTTACTCTTTCACTATGACCAAAAAGACTATGATTATAAGGCCACTCTTGACTTGGAACAAAAATATAATATCTAACATAAATTTTATGTATATGACTTCGAAAAAAGCTGCCGAAAACTCTGGTGATCAGCTAGCAAACACAAAACAAAGGCTTTCCTCATTTTTGCATGCTATTTCTGAAAATTTAGCTCAGAGTGGCTGTTACGATCCAATTGCCAATGAGATGATTGGTTAGAGATGTCATCGTAAGGGGAAATTAGTAACCGATCCAGATCTCCCGGCCATCTTCTGAACGTCGTAGAGAAGCTGTGTGGCCCCTCCCTCCTTGGTCTGGCTCCTCCCACTCTCCCTCCCCACCCTCACCCCTGTTCCCGCCCACACTGTAAGTCCGGCTCCTCAGAAAGTCATGAGTTGAAACTCCCGTTCGCTCTGCCACTCGGAAACCCAGACGGGGTAGGTGGCGTGCTTCGGCTCCGTTATGCGTACCGGCAGAGCGTCGTGTCTCGCGTGGATGGGGTTAGACACGACCTAGCAGGGAGGGAGGGAGAAAGAGGACAGGGGAAGCTAGCATAAGAGCCGCCACTGCCACAGCCAATCACCTTGCAGGATCCTTCTGATTGGAGGGGGGGGGGGGGGTTGGGGGGGCGGTGATTGGCTGAATGGATAAAGGTGGATCTTGATTGGTTAGATTGGAGATGGTGGTGTTGCTAGTACAGTGTGTGTGGCACTGCATCTCTCTCTGTCTGGCTCCAGCGGAAAGACACGCTAGGTGAATGTCTGTTAAAGAAGAGAAGGGGGCGGGGCTTGCTAGGGAATTTTGCTGATTGACACAGTGAAATTAGGAAGGGCACAGGGAAAACATCAGTATCGGGGAGGGCAGGTATTCAAATCCAGAGAAGATAAAAAGCTAAGTTCTCTTGGTGTAAAGCTTTTCAATTTACAGTGTATAAAGGACGAGGCAAATCAAAATGGTGGAAAAATTAGCGTAAATCCAAGCATCTTTCCTTTTCCTAAACATATCTCGTCATTTTAATGCTTGCCTCCCTGCATTTACTGAAATATGTAGCTATAAAAAGCATGTGGTCATGTGCTTCAGTGGTAGCAGAGGCTGGAGGGATTCGGTTACACTTAGCTCTGGACCTCCCTCTTGTGGTCAGAGCTGGCATTAAACTCTCTGGCTTTGCCCTCCACTGCCCTGGGTTTGAGGGGAAGGGGGTGATGAGACCTAAGGGCAGATCCACTCACTGCAGACCTAGAAACAGCTTCTCTCTAGCTCACTGGCCGTCTGAAAGCAGCAGGGGCTGCTGGGAGATCTGCAGTCAGGGGAAGTCCAGCACTCTCAGTAGTGGGAGTGCGTGGTGCTCTGCATTAGCTGCCTCATACTTACTGTGAAGATGTTGGAGCGCCGTTTGGACTGCTTGCGGATGGGCGTGGGAGTGTTGGAGGCGGCCACCGTCTCGATGCGCATTTCCCTCTGGCTTATGCTGGGGGTGGAGGGAACGGAGGACGAGTAATCGCTAAACGCGCCTCCTCCATTAGCAGCCTGAAACAAACAGAGAGGGAATGGGGATAGATAGATAGATAGATAGATTTTGGGGAAAGCAATTAAGAATAGGAAAGAAGCAAGAGAGATATAGTGAACACAACACTATCAGCATGATTTTCTGGATTTTGACAGGCAGCACACTTTATATGGTTTATTATAGTTCATAAAGGCCTATTCTTCCATCCCAATTCTCATGTTTGTACTATGTATATAAATATGGTGATATGAAAGCACATTTGAGTGTGCACTAAGTCTTGATACTTTGTTGCATACTATGAGTGTTTGTTAGTACCATGATAAACCTTTTATTGCATTAAATATCATAGCTACTACAATTATTGTTTCTGTTGTAAAACTATAATAAACTTTAAACCCGGATGATTGTAACCACTCTAAGTCTGCTTTGGGAAAGCTAGCGTGTCTCCGACATAGTGATAACACTCGTTGCCTTCTCTAGTGCAGCTCAACCAGGTCTCGTCCCATTCGTCGATATTTGTGATATCACAAATCCCAGAAAATATGCGTTGTAGTCCAAACGAGTCGTTCGTTGTAGTTTTTAAAAAATGTTTTCTGTTAAATAAAATATCTCCTTTTGAAGTGGACTTTGAGCTTTGTAACTTTGCAGTTCTTTTTTTATGCTCAAACAGCAACATTACAGACTAACTAAAGTTGAAAAAGTGAAAAAGCATAATAGGACCCCTTTAAGTAAAAATAACTGTTTTGGTGGAAAATATGGTAACATTTTCAGAATTGAAATATCAATATACAGGTTTTGGCTGAGTGAGGCTGATCCTAGATCAGCACAAACACCCCAGACTCACCTGATTGATGTGTACAGAGGGGATGGACGCGGCCGGGACCGACGAGTGGCTGGGAGAGTTGGGCAGAGATTTACACGGACCAATCGAAAGCTGCTGTTTTTTCCTCAGCGCCACCACTTTCTGAGCAACTGCAATCACACATCAGAAATATTACAACTATGAAATCCACGCATTAAAAATATTAAAAGTGACAGTAAAGACATTTATAACGTTACAAAAGATTTCAGTTTCAAACAAATGCTGTTCTTTTGAACTTTCCATTCATCAAAGAACCCTGAATGTATCATGGTTTCTATAAAAAAAAAAACGACATACCAAGAAATTACATTTTACATTTACAGAAATAGATTTCATAATTTTACTCTATTTCTAGACTTTTGAACTATAGTGTAACGTATGCAAGTATCTCTTGTACACTGAATTAAGAAAAAATTATGAACTGTATATATTAGTTTGACTTAAAAATATAAAATTGAATTAAAAAATAATAAATTAAAATATAAAAAAATATATATATATAAAATATAAAAAAACTATTATAAAAAATGTTTATAAATATTGTAAAAATAAAAGCAATTTAACATGTTTCGCACAGCTTGTCTAGATACTAGCAGTTTTGTTGTTTTAGTCCTGCATATAACGAACTACAGTATATGCATATGGGAACAATTAATAATTTAGCTGTCTATTAATAACCTATAATGTCTCAAAGCCACTGATTTGCAGTAAATGTGACTACACGCATAAACAAGACTACAAATTAATTTATTTGCAAACATAATTCATAAAGGGCGATACATTTACATTCAGTGCTTATTATTATGGTAGGGAGATGGAGATGTTCATTACTTATGTACAGTAAGTTAAAATTTTTCAGTTCTAATTCGATTGTAATGACGCACATAAGGTTTCTTCCACAGCTGTGAAATGTTTTCGTGCAGATTTACTGCATAAAACTGGAAACCCTGGAGACTTGCAGTGTGCCTACAGCCATTTAACAAGTGACTCAACACTATTTTTTTCGCAAAAACAAAGAAAAGAAAGAAACTAAGAGGAAGACTAAACGAAAGAACCAGCAAAGTCGAGATGATGTTGATCCGTCTGTGTTTTCAAAGAGTCGAACGGCTCACCGTCTCCAGATAACAAGCGCATCTTTGTCTTTTAATTATTTCGAATGCAGCCCGAGGAGGCAATTACACGCAGGAGAAAACAGCAACCGTCAACACTCTGGCAATAAAGGCAGGGACGAGAGAAATCCATCCTGACAACTATGATATCGGACAGCGCGGAGGAACCTGCAACACTGCAGAGCAATAAAGCTGCTGGAATTATCACTGGCAGAAAAGTTTCACTCGAAATCCCCATTCCCACAACACAGGAAGCCAGTCCTCATCCCCGGCTGAAAGCTGCCGTGAGAACCATCAGACTATAATTACACTGAGCCGCAGCAAAATGTGAAAATAGGGCCACCCTGAAATGGGCCCCACGGGGTAAGTACAGCGGTTCATCTTGACACGGCCCCGCGTCCCGCTCTATGCTGGGGGAATGAGGACTAGGTGACACATTTGTGGAATATTTTAGCTTGAAATAAACAAAGTTTAAGTTGAAGAACTAAAATTACTAAAACTGAAATAAAAATAAATGGCTAAATAGAAGCTAAATAAAATGGCAATAGCATGTAATAAAATGACAAAGTAAATTCAAATAAAAAATGTAAAAAGAAATGTTGCTATCGAAATATGAATAAATACTGTAATAGCATATAAATAATTGCTTTCCAGTGTTATTTTAGTATCACTGAGATATAGTTTTTATTAATATTTTCAATCAGTTTTTATTTTTATATATTTTCTGTTTTGATTTTAATATTAGTTAAATTTGTTGTAATTTTGTTGTGTGCGTTTTGTAATTTTCAGTCGATATTGTAAACATTTGAAAAAAAAACTTCTCTCTCTCTCTCACTAAAACAAAACCTTTTTTTTTTTTAATTGAAAACAAATATCTCATTTACAATAATGTAGACACAATGTACTGCTAGAATTTTGGCTATAGCACTCAATTCTTTCTTCAGTACAAAAATGTGCATTATAGGAGCTAAAAAAATGTCTAAATCATCCCTTTAGCATTTATATCAAATCAATGAAATCAATACAAAATACATCAAATACAATCCTTTAGTTAACCTTTCAATACTTAAATTTACTGGCTTGATTTGATGATAAAACTGGACATAACTTAATCAGAAAAGGTTTGTAAGTGATTTTATCATACTAGACTCATGTTAAGACATATTAGGTTTGCTCTATGGTGATACTTTCAAAACAAGTTTTTTATCAGTGATTCTAAGGTAATCTTGCCTTATAGGCTTATTGTGTAAGTGCATCACCTACTACAACACAATTTTTCTTTCCCATTACAAATTAAGGAACAACTCAAAGTCTTAATTATGTACATGTATTGAATCCAGAATATTTCTTTAAATAAAAATGCTACCGTTTAAAGGGGGTCAGTGTTATTTGATCAAAAATACAGTAAAAACAGCAATATTGTGAAATATTGTTACAATTTCAAAGAACTGATTTATTTATTATTTATATTCTATAATGTAATTTATTCCTGTGATCAAAGCTGTATTTTCAGCGTCATTACTCCAGTCTTCAGTGTCACATGATCCTTCAGAAATCATTCTAATATGCTGATTTGATGCTCAAGAAACATTTATTATTATTATCAATGTTGAAAACAGTCGTGCTGCTTAATATTTTTGGGAAACCCATGAGACATTTTTTTTTCCAGGATTCTTTAAATCAATAGAAAGTTCAAAAGAACAATTTATTTGAAATGGAAATCTTCTGCAACATTATAAATGTCTTTACTGTCACTTTTGATAAATTTAATGTATCCTTGCTGACCCAAAACCTTTGAACGGTAGTGTATTAATGCAATTAAAAAGAAGATCATGACTGAAGTCTAAAATTGGACTTTTAACCTCAGTGTCAACCTAAAACCATTGCAGGGCATCTCTAGCTGCCAAAATAATATGTTCATATAAAAATAAATAAAGCGCACAGATGACCATATGAGATGATACAAATTCATGGCCAGCAAAGTTTGCTCCGCGGCAGGAGGTCTTGTTGGGTGACTGGCCCTGACAAACACACTGTAGGCGGCCCTCCCCGCTGCTCACTCACCCTCGGGCGACTCCTCCTGGACATATGTTCCTGTCAGATACCGGTGAACTAATGCTGACTTCCCACTGGACAGGTTTCCCACGATGCCCTGCATGCAGAAACAGAAATGAGTCAGGCCAAAACAGAGCAGCAAACAACAGTGTTTGGGTGCATAAAGCAAACAGAAGAGAAAACAAATGACTGTCTGGAAGACAATCAATGGGATTCATTTCAGGATATTAAAGAACTAATAAAACTTAAAAGGTTTAGTTAACTCAAAAATGAAAATTCTGTCATTACTTACTCACCCTCATGTCATTTCAAACCGTAAGACCTTCGTTCATCTTCTGAACACAAATTAAGATATTTTTGATGGCATCTGAGAGCTGTCTGACCCTGCATAGACAGCAAGGCAACTGAAATGTTCCCAAGTCCAGAAACGTAGCAAGGAGATCTGTAAAATAGTCCATGTGACATCAGTGGTTCATCCGCAAATTTTACGAAGCTACGAGAATACTTTTTGTGCACAAAAGAAAAAAATATAACTACTTTATTCAACAATTCTCCAAAATGGCGGTTGAACCCCTGATCCATGTCACATGGATTATTTTACAGATCTTCTTGCTACGTTTCTGGACTTGGGAACATTTCAGTTGCGTTGCTGTCTATGCAGGGTCTGAGAGCTCTCAGATTCCATCAAAAATATCTTCATTTGTGTTCCGAAGATGAACGAAGGTCTTACGGGTTTGAAACGACATGAGGGTGAGTAATTAATGACAGAATTTTCATTTTTGGGTGAACTATCCCTTTAAAAATGCTGTAGCTGTTTTTGTGAACATTTGCCTCAAAGACAATAATCACTTTCATCAACTTTTCACTACCAACAGATGGAGAACATCCATTGTGCATCCAGGATTTCCTTCAAACAAGTCGAGATCCCTTCCGTCATCAAACAACACCTCAAGCGTGGAGGAAGCAACTTTCAGGAGTTTCCTCGTTCACACCTGACGCAACTGTTCTGCCTGTCAGTCCACGGGACGACGGCTGTTCCTGCACGGATAATTCCCTCACAGCTGCGAGTAGACAGCTTTAAAAACATAATGAGGACAGATTTACCTGTCTTTCTCCTCAAACACTGGAGACGAAGGACTTCCTCTGACAAATATTGAAAAGGAACGACGAGGTGAGCGCCGATAAAGACAGAAGAAGCTTTTTTTTTCTTTGAAGAATTCAGTAATGGCAGCACTTCACAAAGGTTTACACTTTCCCCTGCACTTTGAATGTTAGTTTATTTGTTATTTTTGTTCATTTGATTATGCTTCCAGCTACCAAGACAAACTGCTCTGATGAACACATTTTCCATATTTAAATTCCTTTTCAATGGAAATGTTCCCCCAAAATTCACCAAAGAAAATGTGAAAATAAAGTCCTTCTAACCAATATGCAAAACCGACATTTAAATCATAAGGTATTATTAATAATAGCTAAAAATCTCAATAGCAAAAATCTGTAATATAAAATTCATTTTGCAATATAATGATTTATAATAATTTAAAATTGCTGTAATAACTATACGTAATAAATAATATAATATATAATTGAAATAATAACTATACTACTACTACTACTACTAATAATTATTATTATATAGCATTTAAATTATTAAATTTAATTAATAAAATAAAATAATTATTTAATAGCAGATAAAAATATTTTAATATGCTAACGGAATGTTTACTCTAATATATTCTGATATACACCAGAATTAAATTTAATTAAAAAGTGTAAATATCAGTTAAAAATGGCATCTTTGATATTATTTGATAACAATATAATGGCAATAATTAAATCAACTTAATTAGTATACATTTATACATATATGTGACCCTGGACCACAAAACCAGTCATAAGGGTCAATTTTTTGAAATTGAGATTTATACATCTTCTGAAAGCTGAGCTTTCCATTGATGTATGGTTTGTTAGGACAGGACAATATTTGGTCAAGATACAACTATTTAAAAATCTGGAATCTGAGGGTGCAAAAAAATCTAAATATTGAGAAAATCGCCTTTAAAGTTGTCTAAAGTCCTTAGCAACGCATATTACTAATAATACATTTTTTATATGTAATTAGCATTATATATATAATGCTAGTAAAAAAATATAAATACAATACAATATAATGGCAGTAATTAAATCAAAATTGAAATGCATTAAATAAATGCTCACATTAGCCATTGACAAAGTACATCGTGCATCACTAGGAACAAAACATTGAGTTTCAAAAGAGCACTGAATACTGCTTTAGTCATGGAAATGGAAAAACTCTGTCCTTTCTTTACCCAAAACACCAAACATCCTCCTTCGTCATCATTAAAACACCGGAGGCTGATGCTGAACAGCGTTCGGGTTCATCAGAGGGTGGTGTGTACTGTTAACAAGATTCAAACAGAAACAATCTTCCTCAATAATAAAGGCCCAGACGAGCAGTTAGTTACTCAAGCGGCCGCCGCAGGCCTCAAGAACAAAGAGGAGGACAGAAACTTCATCAGGAGAATTTTGGATGTAAAAGCTTCACGAGCATATAGTTTCATCATGTTGCCTCATATTAAGATGTTAGAATGAGGGTGATTTTTAAATGGGATAATTATGATTCTGGAGTTGGATTATTCTTCCATGAAGCTGATACTGATACTAGTAAAACTATGATCTGCATAATTGTATGTATATCTTTGTACTACTAAATGATCCATATACAGTGTAAAAAATTAATATAGCATAAATTGAGTTATTCTAGTCACATTTTGACAGTGATATTGTGTATGAAGTATCAGTGAACTCTGTATTTTCTGACTGGTGACTATTCTGAGGGAACGTCAGCAGAATAACTCAAGAGTGACACGAGCCGAAATATCATTACAGAGAGTGACTGACATCTCACTGCTTGCTGAATATATTCAGTCCTCGACATGTCAGGATTTACGCTTCCACATAAAGTTAAGAGATAAGATGACAAGGCAAAGGGGTGGGAAGATCACTCACCACTTTGAGCTCTGGTACTGATCGACTCAATGTCCATTCCTGACTGTTAACGAAGGAATCTGGAAAGAAACAGACAGAAAACTTTAGTACGTGATGATGTCATTCATTTCACTCCGTGAACTGGACCGACACTATAGTATACGTTACTGCTTATACACATATAACTATCCTTATGGCTATCAACCAGAAATATTATTGATGAAATCATTAACAATAATCAAAAAATCATGAAAAAACTGATTCATGTAGAATTAAGTTTCATTTTTCTTAAGAAAAATAAAATATTTAAGAAAAACTAAAATGCCACACACACACACACACACACACACACACACACACACTATCTGTCTAGCAGCAATTACGTCATCACATGGGCAGCCTTGTTTAAAGCACCACAGAGGTTTGTGGCACTGCATTGTTCGGTTCATTTTTCACTCCGCTGCTCTTGTCCAATCTAATCAAACTTACTATTCAAAGCGTCGGGGAAGAGAAGAAAAAACCCTTTGTGGATTCAAGGGACTGAGAAACACACACCAAGAAGCAAACCCATTTGCGAGCGAATATTTCCATGCATACCAAAAAGAGACTCGTTCAGTTCCTGTGTGATGGTGAGAACATGGTGTGCTAAGCGTAACGCACAGCAAGTCAAGAGGTGTTTTCTCCGTCCTTCATTTAAACTTGATGTCTCACCCTCCCTTCGCACTCAACAAACTGCTGAAGTGACTCAGATGAGATTCTTCCTACTGCGCTCAGCAACATGCCCTGATGAAACCAGGCCTTTTCAACCTCCATCCTCGCTCTCACACATGGATCCATGGAAAAGTGGACGCATGCCAACAGGCAAACACATCCGAGCTTGACAACCACACCTCGCAATCCCACCATATTACCATTCTTTTCCCAAAGATGTTTCAAGTCACAACAAATCAAAGTAATTAGACTTCAGAAGCCAGCTAAAAACTAGCTACACATGATCTAAACTCAACTCCGGTATAGGGCTGCCACTAACGACTATTTTTATTTCGATTAATCTATTGACTAATTTATCGATTAATCGATTGATTAATTTCCCATAAAAAAAAAATCAACAATTTTACATAAGAATATTTTATTAAACTATATTTCATTAAACCAAATTAAATCCAAAAGTAAAAAAGTAAAGTGCAACAAAGTGCAAGAAGCAAGTGTCCATCTCATAGGCCAAATCACTGAAATCATCGTTCAGTATTATAGTGTAAGGATGACAACATATCCACGTGTTCTAGTCTACTAATAATAACATTATAATCAAAAAACACTTTTTAAAAGAGTATTTACCAGAAATATTATTTACCAGAATTTATTTAGGAGAAAAATGTAAATATGCAGTATTTCTGAAAAAAGTTTCTTTTTTTTATAAAATCAATTAATTGGAGATGCTTTTGATTATTAAAATTTAATGGAACCATTCAAATGGAATCCAGAAAATAATGGAAACCAGAATTTGGTAAAGATAAAACTGTAAAACTCAATTAATTAGACAGGCTTTTTGATTAATACAATTTTATTTAACCATTAAAACGGAGTATAGAAAAATGAAAATGGGAAAAAATGAACTTGGAAATAAAACGGATTTCATAGTGCCCTATAATTATAATACATTTTTTTGTGGTAATAAAAATATGTAAGTGAACAATAGCCTTTAAAATTACTTAAAATACATATATAATAGCAATGAGCCGATAATAATACGTTCAAATAAAGTATCAAAAGCAAGAAATCATATGGTTTTATTGAACAAAACTGTTAAAATACATAATGTATTATAAACAATAGAGCTAATGTACATTACGCATTACAACAAAGGCCTGCAGGGGGCGCCAACGGCCTGATGATTCTTTTTACACATTGCTGTGCGATCTAATACTTGTTTAATATTAACCAAGCACCATTTCATTCAAATGTCCACTTAATCTTTAATACTTGGCCATTTCTTTAGGACAGAAATGTTACAGACATTGTAATTAAAAGAATATGTGGACATCAAAACCTGTTAACTCAGAGTGAGGGTTTGAGCTTTTATTTTGAAACCGTGATGTATTCTCCTGAGTTTGCGTAGATTTATAAATGATTTACCTTACAAATCTGACGAAATGGCGCATGTTGTGTTCCCAGATGAACGTTATAATAAACCCAAACTCACAACAACATGCAGAGATGGAGTTTGAGACGCTCCACACGTGTAAATGATAACAGTTCCTGTGGAACTACTGTGAACGGAGCCGCTGTGTGACGCATGTACTTAACCTACACGCATGTAAATAATTAAAGCGCATATACTGTATTAGAACTGCATCGCATATAATTATTTAATTAAATCGTAGCATTTGTGACTTCACAATTATGCTTAATTATCATTTTTAAATGGGTTTAATATATCATGCAGCCTTGGAAAACAGACTAAAAATGTGTTTTATACATTCTCGTCCGTGAAATGCACCACTTCCGGTATTTTGCCGGTTAGTCGACGCGAGCAAAATGAAGTCGAGGATTTAAAAAAATCGAATAGTCTAATAAAATCGACGAATCGCGACAGCCCTACTCAGGTATCAAGTAAACACAGCGGTATTTTGGAGCGACAGATGTGAATGTCACTGAAATTAAACCCTATTGCGGTACAAAGGCATCAAAACTGATGTTGAACTTCAATTTGATGCTTTTTCTTATGTAGAGTGAACTGCAAACAAAGCGCTTTTCGTATCATATGGGAGCCGAGAAAGAAAATATGAGCTGAAAGAGCTGAAGAAAATATGACTCAGAGTTTTAAGAGAGGGCAAGGCCGTCGTAAATCACATGGGAGAGTGTTTAGAAATAGTGCTGAGTGCAATTTCAGCCCTAGTTGGAGACTTTACTGGAGACTTGTGCCTTTATAACACACAGTAATGGATTCTTTCAAGCTTCCTATGATGCATTTTTCTAGCTATGCACCCTTTGAAGTGCCCTCACACCATTTTTTTACCCTGCCATTGAAACTCCGCCATCACGACCCCAAGGCCAAAAAGTCATCCAAATTCCATCTGAGCAGACCTGATGACACTTTGTACGCAGGTGATGGAAGAAGGTAAAGCCGCTCCTGTGATTAGTAGTAAATCTCCTCGGCAATGAATCACCTGCGATTTTGAACGCGATTTTGTGTAGCTTGTCAGTGAGCTACGGCTCTGTGTAGTAAATGCCGCTCCATCTGAACGCACATGCTGGAGATTTACTACTAATCACAGGAGCGGCTTTACTGACGAGATGCGCATGAAAATTCCATTCGATTTTTTGCACAGCCCTAGAAGAAGGTAAAGCCTTCCGGGCTTAAAATACAAAGAAGTCACAGTTACAGAAAACAGTCAAGATCCAGGAACGACCTGCTTGTCAAACTACCAGGGCATGTAGCGACAGGTACGCGCAATCCGCAGACATAAGCTTTGGTCCAAAAAGCTCTCAAGTTCAGCAAACACACCTACATTCAGGCTGTCAGTCAACTTTTATAAAGAAAGGTCAGTCGGAGAGCTTGGGGAGGATAGTTTCCATAGTAACCAATTAACATAAACTCAAGCAGATGCCAAGGGTGTAAACCTCCATTAATTTATTATCTCCATTTGACGAATGACTAATGGCACTGCCTAAAAACAAGCCCTGTAAGTCATTTGTGGGAGTTTGCTGTGCTAAAGTAAGCTTTGCAAGATATACTTGAGTAGGTAATGTGAGTAGATTGTTATGATCAGCGCAAGTCCATTGATTGGATGTTGGCCGTTTTCTAGTTGGATCACTTTGAAGTGGCAGTGTCACTGGTCTGCCCAAATACTGTCCATTAAAATAAAACATAACATGAAATATGTGACCCTGGACCACAAAACCAGTCTTAAGTCGCTGGGGTATATTTGTAGCAATAGCCAAAAATGCATTGTTTGGGTCAAAATCATAGATTTTTCTTTGATGCCAAAAATCATTAGGATATTAAGTAAAGATCATGTTCCATGAAGATATTTTGTAAATTTCCTACCGTAAATATATCAAATCTTAATTTTTGATTAGTAATATGCATTGCTAAGAACTTCATTTGGACAACTTTAAAGGCGATTTTCTCAGTATTTTGATTTTTTTGCACCCTCAGATTCTAGATATTCAAATAGTTGTATCTCGGCCAAATATTGTCTATCCTATCCTAACAAACCATACATCAATGGAATCTTATTTATTCAGCTTTCAGATGATCTATAACTCTCAATTTTGAAAAATTGACACTTAAGACTGGTTTTGTGGTCCAGGGTCACAAATAACACAAAAAAAAAAGAAAAGAAAAAATGTCATCATATATAATAAAATTATTCAAGTGAAAGCAAATTAGTATGTGCCAAAAAGGTCACAATTTACAAAAAGGCCACACATAATCTAGTTACTTATGAAATTAGTCTCTGTATATAATGCAAATTAAGGGATTGAAAGCACTTTCTTTATTCTGAGAATGAACTAGAGATGCACTACCTGTCCTGAATGACATTTTTTTAAGTGTCATGAAAGACTAAAACATGTTTTTGAAATGTTAACAGATATGTGTTTATAGAATTATGGATATTTATGGGTAATCTCAGCATCACTAACTCCAACCATCTTTACTGTGAATGTGTTAATAAATCAGCCCAATGAAATATATGAATCAACAAATCTGAATAACACTCTCAAAATGTATTACAAATGCATGAGTGCAATCAAACATATTTTAAATGTGTATTTTTAGATTAGACAGATAGACAGATAGATAGATAGATAGATGAGACCTGACCTGAAATGAGGCTTCCACTACATAATAAGTGCTCAAACCATCTCAAAGTGTGCTGCCAATAAATCATCTTCCATCCTGAAACATGTCCTCCTCACTCAATCATAAGGACAGCTCTATTTCAATAGCAGATGTGCTAGCATCTCTCCACTGACATTTCAGTCATTTTGTGTTTGCAGACATTTCATTCAAATTATACATTGCACCCCGGCATCTTCAACACTTGCGTTGGCAAGTGAGACTTCACTGCTCAAAGACAAAACATACAAAAAAAAACTAATATAATTTGTGTAATGCTGCACACATACTTATTACAAATACTTACATCCAAAGAAAATGCCACAGGCAAAACGAATCAAATTTTCATCATCGAAATAAGGATTACAAGGGAGCTGAGGTGACTTAAGGGTAAGAGCCTAGGCCTGTATGCATCTTGTCTCACTCTACGTAACAATCCCTTTTTAAAATCACAGCGTAAAGCTCTGAAACGGCACTATTTGTCTTCACTACCTCTTAAACAACGCAGAAGCTGCAGGCAGGGAACAAAAACATGTTTAAAATATCATGAGGTTGTTGTCTGCATGCTGGGTCATGATTTAACCTTCAGAACTGCGAAAGCAAAAACGAATCCCAACTCCAATCCCATGAGAACGGGATTGTTACATATAGCATTCTGATAGTAGAAGAGAGTCCTTAAATTATTCCCTCTCTTTTTTCGTCTACATCTTCCATCCTTGACTCATTCCTGCAGTCTATTTGATTACCTTGAAAGCGTTAATGATTAAACAAGATTTGATGGACGCTTTTTTGCTTCCTAATTCAATTGCAGTGCAGACTTACACTAGAAGAAAACTCCTCTTGGAGCCAATTAACAGCTCAAGCACACACACACTCCAACAGAGCCAAAGCACTCAGAGTGAATAATGCATTTAACCTCTTATTATGCCTGTTGGTGGTGCCCAAGCCAGACCTTCAATATCGTTTTAATATTTAATCAACTTGCCCTGCTCTCCAAGGCTACATCCTGGCACTCAGAGTCTGTCCTCTTCAGACAAAAAGCAGCACTTTTTCCTGCGTCAGACTGGGATGTGGAATGAAATTATGCATTTTACACAACTTACCTTGACCTTTGCAGAAACCAATGCCAGCTAGAGTCTCTATGGCAACAGAATCTGGCTTTTTATTTCTCGCATGGGGGTGGCTGCCAACTGCTTGGCTTTCAGTGAACAGCTCAGATTTGTTGCTGGACAACGGGTCTGTCCTCTTAAAACGACTAGCAATTAACTGCCAAAAACTAGTCCCTGGTTGCAAATGTTTGGTGGGCTTTGTTAGTTTGGTAGGATGGAGAGGGACCTCCAAGACGGCCACCTTGCCCCGAGTTTGGTACTGAATGTACTGTGTGGCCCCTTGATCCTCATCTTGCTCATGAGCTGGTGTTAACATCCTGCCAGTAAAATAGGAAAACGGGCGAGTGGTTTGCATAGATTGTTCTCCGATACTTGAAGTGCGTCTCCATTCAGTTCGGTTCTCCTGCTCGGGTTGATTACGATTCCGCCTCATCCTTAGACTCAAGCTCCTCCGCAGGGATCCGAATGTTGTCTTCGGTTCTTCTGTCTTGTTGGGTTCCTTTAGCCTTGTTGAATTTTGTTTCGCCACCACTTCCTTTCCAGTTGCCTGTCGACCAAACCATCTCCATCGGAAGCCTGGACGAGGCAAACTACTGGTGCCAGTGGAAGCGTGGCTTGTGAGCTCATCCCGGGATCCAATACGCTCTTTATTAAGCTCAAGAGCAGTCATGCTAACGGGCCGTGGTTTGTTCTTGCTTTTCAAAGTCCGACGTATTGGCGGTTCTTCTAGTGGATGAGGAAATAGGTTGACAGAAGGCAGCATGTCTGGTTTTAGACCGTCTATTGCACGCAGCTCGGCACGTCTTGTCCTACACCGCTGGACCACATCTGGGCAACCTTGCTGATTTGGGGTCGAGGTAGGCAGAATATTGTTATTTGAGTTGGTAGCTGTCAACATACAATCACTGCGAGGTTTTACAGAGCTGTCTTGGTGGTTGGTTGCTGTGTTTTGGTGTCTCCTGTTGTCGTCTGGGAAGACGAACATGCTCACGGCTCTTCTGCTGCCCAGGAGCCGAAGTCCATGTGCAGGCCTTCGCAAGACCGCCACATGAGGTTGTGTTGCATTTTCCAGAAAAACAGCATTGCAACTTAGTTCCTTAATGTGAATGTGGCAAACATCAGCATGGAGTTCTCCGGTCCGTGCCTTTTCTTCCCCAGCCAAGTTGAAGTCTTCCGCAGACACTTGTTGCACACAGCTGTCCTGGAGGAAAGGAGGTAACCGGTCCGTCCTCATTCCTAGTACTTCCCCTTTCCTCCATCCCCCATTCCCTGTGCTGCTCAGGTAAAGCCACCTGTTGGGCTTTCCAACTGCACTCCTCTTCTGCCCCGGGCTTTCTCGACGTTCTCCCCTCTGATCCGCCTCTTGTCTTTCGTCGTCGTCCTCCTCCTCCTCTCCCACGTTGTTCTTTACGACTCCTAGCTCAGCCTCTCCTCTTCTAGTCTCAGCCCCTCCTGAAGGCGTCAGAGTCTGTACCTCCTCCTGGAGTCCCATTCTGGAAAACAGCAACTTCGTACAGATTTTCACCAACTTTGTCTTGGTGAAGAGATGTGATCCTGCCTTTAAAATTCACATTTCATATCATGGACACACTTCCACAAGCTTGTTCTCTGCAACTTAAGCACTCTATCTCTAACACAGTCTCTCTCTAAGTTTTTCACCTCCAGGGCACATTCCAAAAGCAAGCATAATCCCTCACCTTTGACTTGTGAGAGACGGAGACGGAGTTGAGGGGGGGGGGACTTCAAACAAGCCCCAGCATGACCTCACTGCAACTTTTACCTTGCAGGGGATTATGGAGGGAAATAAGCACTCTATGAAAACACAAACCTGTGCGCATTGGAGTGATGAATGCAGCCACAGATTAAGAAGTCTTTGGTCTTCTCCTTCTGTCAAAAACAGGTATGTGCAACCCTGCAGTTAGCAATGTAGGCAAATTCCTTAATGTTCCAGTTCTTGGCATGAGCGAGAGGGGTCTGTTTGAACTTCAAGCTGTTCCCACATGTCCCAAGGATAGCAGCAAAACAAGGAGCAGAATCCTTTGTCTCCTTAAAGCAGAGCCATTGCCAAGGCACCTGTAGAGAAATCCCTGTGGGAGTTACTGCTTTGACTGAAGATTAAAACGGAGGGTGCCTGATGCTTGGAGCGGAGAGTATCTTCGGCACGGTTACCAACATTTGCACCATCCTAAAAGGCATCCAAATTAAAGGGCATTTTGCAGAGCTTCCCTTTCCCAGAGCCTGCCTCTCTTTGGCTCCCTTGTTCCTACCCTCCCTTCCTGAACTGCCCTCCCTCGCAACTGCATTTCCTCAACCAATTGAACATGACAGAAATTGGCAAACAAAACTGGGGAGCTCATTTCATGAGGGCAGGATGAAATGCCAAACAATTCCCGAGTTTTCTCATGCAAGTCTTGCATATGCTAAAAGAACTGCATGTAAAATGTTTTCACATCACCTATGGGGGTGGATAGTTGAGTCTTTAAGTATTATTGGAAAGAAAGTTAATGTGCAATGAAAGTCACAGTGGAACTAAATGTGCATGCAGAAGCTATCTCCACTACGAAAATACATACAGAAGAGTTCAAAGCATCTACCCCATATCCAATATTTTAGCTTTGCTATTAGGATGGCTTGCTAGGATTCAGTACAACATGAATATCTGTTCCTAATATAGAGAATCTGACTGGCCTAAAAGCCATCTGGATTAGGAAAACAAGGGAGCAGATTTTGTGCTTGTAAAGAGCACCCACAAGTGGTTCCAATGAAAACTACCCCACCAGTCCAGTACTACTACACTGCCATAGAGAAAAACTATTAGACTGAGACTCACTTAACAACGTTTAAACAAAGATTCCTGCGGTGTAATGGAATTTATGAGAGGAAATATACAACTTTAATCAAACAGATTTGCAAAAAGATGCTAAACAATACAGCAGCACTCTTTCCCTTTTCCTTCGCTCTTCATACTTCCCCACTTTTATTTCCTTTGTTCTTTCCCTCTTTACTTCTTTCCTTTCTTACTGTCTTTCTTTTTGTCAGTTTCTTTCCCCTCCTTTTATTATTTCTTTCTTTCCTTTCTTCTTTCCCTCTTTAACTTCCGGCGTACAGATGACATGAGTTTGAAAAGACCAGTCAACAGATCCAGACGATCTGTGCTCTCTGATCTCCTTCCTATGAATTCAATTTTTCTATAAGAAGTTTTTTCGATAAGAAAAACATTTCTACAAGTTTCTTGGCCATAGGCCACTGGTATCTTGAGCTTACACTTACTCAGATTAAGATCTTTGATCAATTTCCAATTTGTATAACCTAATAAATTCAACTACTTGGAAATATTTGAGAACCTAATTGCTTGCGGTTTAACTTTAAAGCCATATTTAGCCAACCAAACATATCCATTTCTAGATTTAGCTCCTACAAGCTCTTGTTAAAACCTCAACTAAAATGATACCCCATGCTATAATTATTTAAAACACAATGCAACAGCCAAAACATCATACGTATGTCCCTGATGACTCACTGTTCATTCACTACAAAAATAATCACATGTAACTAAGTTTATCATACCTGAAATTCCTTCACTTTAACAGCTTCCACAGCACTTCAAATACATCTAACATCAAAGCAACAAGTACAAATGTCTACAAAGTTCAGAATAAATTATATTTTCTCAGAAGGACTCTAGTAAAACAGACAACACAAAGACATGGATATTTGGTATTTACAATTTTTCCTTTTCAATGCCCTCTAAAAATAAAATACATCTGACCACAGATGACCTCAATTCTCATATTTAATTGAACAGTTCAGGTGTTTAATTACCAAACGACAACAGCATTAAAGCAAATACTACAAAAGCCAAAAAAACTGAGCATGAATCAGTACCTGTTTTGATCAGACAGGAATTAACACCTGTACGCATGAAACGGATTGCTCTCCTTTGAAGAAGGATTTATTACCTGTGTCTACCGCGTAAGGATTCGTCACCCCTATAACCTCCACTGAGATCAAATAGTCCTCTTCGCCCCACTGCAGATGGTGTCTCGGCCGTCTTCTCCCTCCAAAACACATCATCATGACAACTTTCCCAAACTACAGGAATATCCTTTAACCAGTGGCATTATCAGGCCAAGACCAAACTAAAAAACCAAGTTCAGGGTCCAAATCATCTTCTATTTAAGCATGCTCTGACGACAAAATCCTAGCACTGCTTTTGACAGACTGACTAATGTAATGCTCAGTTCAAGTGCTTGGCTTTGTCAAATATCAAAAATGTCTCGGTGAGAAGGAGGAGGCGGCAGACAGGAAACATGTCCAACCTCAATAATCATTCATGAGGAGGAGGCGGCAACCACGGCCTCCCTGGCTTACCTGAACCTAAAGTAGGATTAGTCTAATCCTTAACCAATAGGAAGTCATTGGTGCATTATCCATCCCTCCGTTCTGATGGGAATGCACACACAGAAGCGCTATCATGTTTGACTCCATTTTGGAGTAAAGCACGGCTGGCCCTTTCAAAAGCAGTTTAACTCATCGTGGTATCTGTGCAATGCTTTGACGCAAGACGCCCCACTGATATTTCAAGTCCAACCACAAGACTGTCTGTGATGAAACATTCCACTTGTCTTAAAAGTCAGATTGAGCAAACATTATAAATGTAAAAATCTCAAGTGAGAGAAAAACAATCCACGGATCATATCTAGGCATCAAAGCTCTCCACTTCATGAAACCATTACAGAAATGCAAAGGGTTGCTCAACAAAAAACATTTTCGTCTGAAACTACACAAGCATTCGTAAACTATTCCCATCTAATGAAATGCATTTAATTGATGAGGTCCCATAAAAATGAGAGCGCATAAAGGCCATATTGACTTTTCATTAAAAACCACCACGTCATCGGCGGTACCGTCTGCGAGGCTGATGTACAAATACTGATGGATGACAAAAAAAACACATTTTGCCCTTGTGAGGTGGTGTAGCGAACACAGAGCATTAGATATGCCTTTCATTTATACCGATTTAATTATGCAGACCATCAGAAAGTGTGTTTCCGAATGTTTTTTCACCCTCGGGGCGCACCTTTATTACTGAGAACCCTTTGGAAATTGGCCTGCCAGTCTAATTAAAGCAGAAAAACTGATTACGGTCACACAATTAGGCCTCTCTTCCCTTTTAACACTTTTAACACTGCAAGAAAGTGACACAAGCAGCATGCCAATGTCTCTTGTCTTTCTTACTAAAATGCTCTGCAAAAACAGTAATGTTGTGAAATATTATTACAATTTAAAATGACTAAAATGTAATTTATTCCTGTGATCAAAGCTGAATTTTCAGCATCATTACTCCAGTCTTCAGTGTCACATGATCCTTCAGAAAGCATTCTAATATGCTGATTTGCCACTCAAGAAACATTTCTCATTATTATCAATGTGTTAAAAACAGGTGTGCTGCCGAATTTTTGGGCACCATAGCACAATATTTTTCAGGATTATTTGATGAATAGAAAGTTCAAAATAGCAGAATGTATTTAAGATGATAGAGAAATGTCTTTACTGTCACTTTTGATCTATTTAATGCATCCTTGCTCAATTAAAATTATTTCTTTCAACAAAAATAAATAAATAAATGCATGAATAAATAAAATAGATAAAATCCGATCCTAAACCTTTAAATGGTATAGTGTAAATATTGCAGTTAAATATTATCAATGCATAATATTTAACTGCAATATTTACACTATACCATTTAAAGGTTTAGGATCAGATTTTATCCATTTTATTTATTCATGCATTTATTTATTTATTTTTGTGACAGAAAAATATTTTTGCTGTGAAAAGGAAACAATTTAATCAATTTCAGAGAAAATTACCACCAAAAGGATGAAAAATATGTTTCGCTAAAAACCTTTAAATGGTATAGTGTAAATATTGCAGTTAAATATTATCAAGTGTCCCCCAAGTGTATTAGCATGTCAGCATCTCTAATTAGCTTTTCAGTGTGCAACTACTAGTCCAAAAATAATGTGACTATGTTAATGCTTTTACATAAAAAGGCACATATTAAGCCAATCTAATCACAAACAGATTCTAAATCATAAAGACTAATTATAAATGCAACATTACCTTCCAGCAAGTTGTGTTCATAAACATACACACCAGCAGGGGGCAGTCTGTCTTCTCTCACAGCGGACTGCTGAACCTATTAGTTCAGTTCATAAATCAAGTCTAGCCTCATTAAATCTTGATTTGTGTGCTTCCACATAGCTGCCATCATATTTCACCCAATTATATGCTGCTAATATTGAATATTGACATTGCTGCTTGACATGCAACAACAAATCGTTCCGTAATTATAAGGAACTACAAAATAAGTTTGTGTGCAAGTTTAGGAAGGAAAATGTGTAAGAGCTCACAGAGTCATCTGCACCTCCATCATCTGCAGACGTGGCTCCTGAGCACATCACTAATGCTAATTAGCTTACGCAAGGTTAT